TTCCTTCCTTCCTTCCTTCCTTCCTTCCTTCCTTCCTTCCTTCCTTCGAGACAGGAACTCCCTATGTGGCTCTGGATGTCCAAGAACTCACTATGTAGACCAGGCCAACCTTGAATTCTGATCTGATATCTACCTGCCTTTGCCTCCTGGGTGCTGGGACTAAAGGTGTGCACCACCACACCAGGCTTCTCCTTACCGTCTTTCAAGGCATCTCCTGCTTCTGCTCTTTTCTTCTGCTACCTTGGGAGTAACTGAGTGGGTAAGGTGTCACATCTCACACACACACACAGAAAAAGAGAGAAAGGGAGAGGGAGAGGGAGAGAGCGTGCAGACAGCAAAGCAAGACTCAGTAGTACAAGGCTGCTATCCCAAGTCCTCACTAGCTCAACCTTTCTATTTCCCTTGGTGGACTTTGATCTTACAGATTTCAATGAAAGAAGGTCCACTTACAAAGCATTCTAAACTCACATTCTGCCCCCATCCTCCACCCAGCTTCCAGCAAGCAGGCAGGGAACAGAATGGCCCGGTCACGGAACTGTAGAGACAAAGGACAGAAGGCGAGGTGGGGCTCGGGCGCCACCTTTGAGGTCTAGTTCAAGTCATCCCAGCAACAAGCCTTCCAGATACACAGCAAATCATCTGAGGTGCACAGCCATGTGTGCCCTTCCATGTATTATCTTCCGTGCCCATCTGAGCGTGTTATCTTTCACTATCCATCCTTAACCATCTGTGACCTCCTTCCTCGTTCCTTCTGGCTTGGGCAGAACTGCATGGCCAGAGGCCTCATGAATCCCCAGTAAGCAATGGGCAAAGGGGCAGCCAGACCCACTTGGGAGAGTCTTAACACAACACACTAAAAATCGGAATCCTGCTTGGTAAAGGGGAGAGGGTGACTAGGAACAGCTTACAGCACTGACTAGACTGTACGGATGAATAGATGACAGCAGGGAGGTGACACAAAGGGCAGATGACGTCAGCTGGACTGTACAGATCAGTGACCAGTCTGGGCAAATGGTCACACCTGTGTAAACCCCTCCTGCTCAGTAGCATAAGCCACCCTGCCCAAAGCTCCCAATGGATGATCGGTGAATACTGAGAGGTATGGGGTGGGAGTTCACACATTGTAAGTTTTCACAGGTTTGTAGACGGGTGGGAGCAGCCCGTGGTTCTCGCGGACGATTTCCAGGTACTCAGACGGGCTGTCCAGAAAGAGCGAGCCGCAGCACACCTGGCAGCAACACTTGATCCCAGTGGCTGCTGGGCTCTTTTAAGACATGGGGGGGAAAAGTCAAAATCTGCCACCTATGGTGAATAAAACCCCAGGGGTCGATTACCACCCCCTGGGAGCCTCCCCACCAGCCCACCAGCAGGCTCAAGAGTTCAGCGGCAAGGAGATGAGTCAGATGGGTTAACAGCTGAGTCAGCAATCCTACCAGTCTATCCCTGTCTCTTCTGTGCATCATTCCAAACCTTAGGATTTAGCAGGACCCCCTCCAGGCATCCTGGTCTGCCCATCATACCCTCTTCTAGAAAAGGCTCAGTAGTCTAGCCTCCATCCTACAGAGCACCTACCTCCACTATGCCCTTCTGGTTAGTAGCGCTCCGCACAGTCATGTACATGATAAAAACCAGCAACACGGTGATCAGTGTGGCACACGGGAAAGCAAAGGCAAAGGGCTGGAAGCCTGGGAGGGAGAGAGGGAGGTTACAGAGCTGGGTAGCTGGTGGCTCATGAATAAAGGCAGATACTGTCAGGCTTAAGGACCTGAGTTCTATCCCAGGAGTGAACACGGTAATAAAATAAGATAACTGGCTTACTGAAATTGTCCCCTGGCCTCCACATATGTGTCCTGGCACACACAATAGCCAGGTGGTGGTGACACACACCTTTAATCCCAGCACTCAGAAGCAGAGGCAGGCAGATCTCTGTGAGTTCAGGGCCAACCTGGTCAATAGAACCAGTTCCAGGACAGCCAGGACTAGACACAGAGAAACCCTCTCTTGAAAAGAAAAACAAAAAGAAAAAAAAACAAGTACACACAACAAATAAACAGTAAGTGTTTTTTTTTTTGTAAAAACTACTGATGTTGAGTGTGCGTGTGCACACGTGCTTGTATTTATGAGTATGTGGATGTATTATGTGTGCAGCTGCACGGGTGCACAGATGTGTGTGTGTGCAGCCACGTGTATGTAGGTGTGTACGCATATGAAAATCAGGGCAACTTCTAGTGTTGTTCTTTGGGTTCCTTTGACTTTTTGTTTGAAAGGGGATCAGGCTGGCCAGGCTGCTCAGCTCCAAGGATCCGCCTGTTTCTACTTCCTAGCTCTACCTAGCTTTATACATGAGGACCAAAGTCACATCCTCATGTTTGCAAGACAAGCACCTTACTGACTGAGCTGTCTCTTCAGCCCAAAATTCTGGCTCTAAGGAAGCAAGCAGGACAAAGAACACAGCCAAACCCTGCTGGAGAAAATTTTCTCTTCTATACACAGTAAACAGGTCCACAGGAAAATCCAGGACTCAATGAAAAAGAGGGAAACTGAGGCTGGGGAGATGGTCCTGTGCTTAACCACCTGCTGCACAAGCCTGAGGACCAGAGTCCAGGCCCCTGGAGGAGCATGGTGGCTTACCTGTAATTCCAGCCATGGAAGGTGGAGAAAGGATCGCCAGAGCCAACTGATACAGACACTAGCCATATTTGGTAAGCTCAGGGTTTGATTGAGAGAGCCTGCCTCATTGAATGAGATGGAAGGGTGATCAAGAATGATTCTTCTTAGATTTTATTTTTTATAAATATTTAAGTTGGGGCAGGGGCATGGTAACACAATGTCCATGGATGCCAGAAGAGTACATTGGATCCCCTGGAGCTGAAATTACAGAGGTGATGAGATCCCAGTGTGGGTGCTGGGAACCCAACTAAGGTCCTCGGGTGCAAGAGCAGAATGCACTTCTAACCCCTGAGCCACCTCTCCAGTGGGAGGGTGATTCTTTTTATTTTTTTATGGGTGTGATTGTTTTGCCTCTATCTACACATATGTCTGGTGCCTGTCGAGGTCAGATAGGGGTGTCAGATCCCCTGGAACTGGAGTTACAGATGTTTGTGAGCCACCATGTGGGTGCTGGGAACTGAGCCTGAGTCCTCTACAAGAGCAACAAGTGCTCGTAACTGACGAGCCATCTCTCCAGCCCCTCAAAAGATCCTTAATATAAAACTCAGGGATCTACCTGGGCCTTTAACACACACACCCACACGCACAAAGGAAAATAAATGAAGTATGAGAATGGTTAAAAGCATATTCAAGGGGACTGGAGAGATGATTCAGGGGTTAAGAGCACTGAATGCTCTTCTAGAGGTCTTGAGTTCAATTCCCAGCGACCACCTGCTGGCTCACAACCATCTGTAATGGGGATCCAATGGCCTCTTCTGGTGTGTCTGAAGAGAGTGACAGTGTACTCACATACATAAAATAAATAAATCTCAAAGAAACTTGGGACAAGCCTCCTTCAGTACCTGTGGCTCCTCCCAGCATCCCTTAGTGCCAGTGGTTCCTCCCAGCACTTTTAGCCCTGCCTTCTACCCTAAACCTTTCTCTCCCAAGGGCTTCTGCTTCTCTTACCCCAGCCTAATCCCTACGTAACAGCCGTTTTGGCTACACCTGTCTCTTGGTCTCTTGACCCAGGCCACCTCTCTTGGTCACCCTCTCCTTTCTTGTTGTCTCTCCCTCCTCCTATCTCCACGGTCGGGATTAGTCTGCTGCCCATGTTCAGCCCAGAGTCCTGCCTCTGCCGGCTTTCTCTCTTGTATCTGTAGTAAAAATCTTCCCCCTACTTCCTCTTATTTTATTTTTGCTTTCATTCAGTAGTATCTTCTTAGGGGCAGTTAAATTCCCCCCCACCTCCCCGCTGTGTGGACCTGCATCAATGACTGGTTGATAAGAGTGAATCTTGTGTTTCCAAAGTCTACACCATGAACGTGGGAAGAATCCTTGTGATGGTCAGTTATTGTGTCAATCGGACTGGATTGTAAGATGTGAAAAGAGCATCTCTCTGGGTGTTTCCATGGATGATTAGCTCCTGAGTGCTGTGGTTAATCTCCTGATAGAGTTCTAACTGTGTGGGAAATGTTACGAGGGAGAAGGGAGGGGCTTTGTGCCCTTCCTCGGCCTTGAACACACCAGCCCGAGGGACCTAGTTTACCACAACAGACCAAGCGATGATAAGGACCTAGGTGGAGTTACCCACCTTGGCTGCAAGGAACTTGAAAGAAGAACTGCCCCTGGGCTTGCCTTGAGACATCTCCAGCTGTGACCGGTAACCAAGGACCAAGAACAGATTATCCCACCCATCTCTCCTGGCTGAAACTAGGAAGGGTTCAGGCGGGGTCTTTCCCTTTAAATTGAGAGCTAAACATTAAAGCATCGAGCCTTGATCAGAGAACTTTGTCTTAGCTCCATCTTTTCTCGCCCTCCGTCCACCTTTTGTTCCTAGCTCCCTTTCAGGAGAACGCGGTTGACTCGTGGCCGCTGGCCGGCTACAGGGCTTTGAAAATGTAATGGATAACCTGGGGAAACAGTTTCGGTTGAAGTATAATCTAGATCAGACTGGCCCACAGCTTGACTATGTCTTGATTCTTTATTTTATGTATGTGGGTACACTGTCACTGTCTTCAGACACTCCAGAAGAGTGCATCAGATCCCATTACAGATGGTTGTGAGCCACCATGTGGTTGCTGGGAATTGAACTCATGACCTCTCGGAAGAGCAGTCAGTGCTCTTAACTGCTGAGCGGTCTCTCCTGCCCACTATGTCTTGAATGTGCTGAATGTGGATAGCACCATTTCCAAGTTTGGGATGTTAAGCCGTGTAAGAGGGAAGCATTCTCTGCCTCTGCTCTTGGGTGTGGATGTGGCATTGACTAGCTGCCTGAGCTCCTGCCACGACCTCCCTCAATGATGGACCCTAGACGTGTAAACCAAACAAATCCCTTCCTGCCCAAGTTGCTTTTCTTTTTTCTTTCTTTTCTTTTTTTTTTTTTTTTTTGCTTTTCTTTTTAAAGAGTTATTTTATGTATGTGAGTACACTGTTACTCTCTTCAGACACACCAGAAGAGGGTATCAGATCCCATTATAGATGGTTGTGAACCACCATGTGGTTGCTGGGAATTGAACTCAGGACCTCTAGAAGAGCAGTCAGTGCTCTTAACTGTTGAACCATCTCTCCAGCCCCCAAGTTGCTTTTCATCAGGATTTTATCACAGCAGCAGAGATGGAAGTAGGCTGTGAAGTCACCAAGGACAGGAGGGCTGTCTTTTGTTCTGGCACCTTCCTGTATCTCCTTTGCCTACTTCCGGCCAGCCATGATGTAAGCTGCCTTCTTCTCTGATTCCCATCTACTGTGAAGAAGCTCCTTGGTCACCCACTACCATCCATGTTTTTCCCATGTTCATGGAGCTGAGCAAATATGAGATAAACTCTCAGAATTCTTCCTCTCAAAACAATGCCAGTTGTTTGGTCAGGAATTTGGTTGACAATGATGTAGAAATAATTAATACAGCCCCCTTCTAACCTGTGCTGTGTCTCCACCTCAACTTCCCACCACATGGTGGTTCTGGCCTCACCCACAAAGGCTCTTCCCAAAGAAAGCATGGTGGAGTGGAGAGAGGTCAGTGGTCATGGGTTCAAATCCTGCCTCTGACCAAGCTATGTGATGCTCATGCTGACCTGAGAGGCTGCCAAGGGAAAGTGAGTAGGGATATGAATACACTGACTCTGTGGGTGATTGCTTTTCCTGCACCAACATGAGGCTGCTTCCCGAGAAAAGGTGGTGATATGCATGGAGTGTGTGTGTGCAGATGTACCTCCCTGTGCACGCATGTTGTGGGGGTCAGAGGTTAGCATCAGGAGTCTTCCCATATCGCTCTGTACATCCCCCACCTTGTTTTTTTTGGTGTGTTTGCTCGTTTTGTTTGGATTTACTTTTTAATTGCATTTATTTATTATTATTATTTTGGTTTTTTGAGACAAGGTTTCTCTGTGTAGTCCTGGCTGTCCTGGAACTCACTCTGTAGACCAGGCTGGCCTCGAACTCAGAAATCCGCCTGCCTCTGCCTCCCAAGTCCTGGGATTAAAGGTGTGTGCCACCACCAAAATTTATTTATTATTTATTTATCTACTTATTGTTGGGGTGTGTGTGTGTGTGTACATGTAGGTAGATCAGAGAACAATTTTATAGAGTTAGTTCCCTCCTTCTCACCATGTCCCTCTGTCCCTCTTGGGGATAGAACTCAGATCGTCAGGCTTTACCCCCTGAGCCATCTTGTCAGCCCATTTTTTGGGGGTTGTTCATTTAAGACAAGGTTCTACTTGGTAGTCCTGGCTGGTCTGGAACTTCAACATAAACTAGGCTTGCTTTGAACTCACAAAGCTCTGCCTGCCTCTGCCTCTAAAACACTGAAACTGTAGGTATGCCCCACAACACCTAGCTTCTACCTCAGTTTCTTTAGACAAGGTTCCTTACTGAGCTCACCAGTTTGGCTAGACTGGCATGCTGGGGAGCCCTAGGAATCCTCTAGTCTCCACATCCTGCCCCTAGTACCGGGGTGACAGACACAGGCTGCTGCCTCCTCTTCCCCCCTTTTAATTTTTTTTATGTATATGGTTGTTATCCCTGTGCAACATGTCCATGCAGTGCCTGCATGAATCCAGAAGAGAGAACTGGAGTCCCAGAGAGCTGTGAGCTGCCACGTGGGTGCCAGGAATTGAATAGTTGGTAGAGTGTTAAGAATTACATTGGCAGAGTTTGTTGGTGGTACCAGGGTGGGTAGAGTATTGTAAATAGCATGTAGTGGAGGTAATGAAGTCATAGAGTGTACGGGTGATATCGATGGCATTTGGTGGTAGCACTGGTGTTGGTAAAGTATTGGTGGTGGGTCAAGTAGTGGTGGCACACACTTTTAATCCCAGCTCTCAGGAGGCAGAAGCAGGCAGATCTCTGTGAGTTTGAGGCCAGCCTGGTCTATAGAGTGAGTTCCGGGACAGCCAGGGCTCCACAGTGAGACCCTGTCTCAAGCCACCACCCCCAAAAAGTGTTGGTGGTGGTATTAATGGAATTTGGTGGTGGTATAAAAGTCGGTAGAGTGTTAGGGCATCAGTGCAGTTTGCTAGTGGTACCCAGATTGGTAGAGTGTTACGGATGATCCTGATGGGGTTTAGTGCTGGTGCTGAAGTTGATGGAGTGCCGGAGACAGGACTGGTGGAGTTGGTGGTTGGTTGGGCTGAAGTGGTAGAGTTCCCATTAATGGTATTGGTGGAGTCTGTTGTTGGTACTAAGGTGGGCAGAGTGTTCAGAATAATCACGGCAGAGTTTCGAGTTTGTGCTGAGAGGTGGAGTGTTGACTGTTGGAATCTGGTGGTGGTTGGCAGAGTGTGGATGGTGGTGACATTTGGTCATTGAAATGTGAATTGTTCCTTTACCCAGGAGAACTACTTACGACCTCAGTGCTGACGGGGTTGGTCTTGACAACCTTGACAGGATCAGCTACCAAGTGATCAGCTGGTCACCAGAAGTGACGGCAGGGTTTTGATACCTGTATGGCACTGCACAGAAGGCCATGTGTCACTTACTGGAGGGCCACACCTGAATCCTGTGGTACTGGTGAGCCTTGCTGATAGCATTCTCAGCACGGAAGATGAAGCAGTAGTCCCCGGGGTCCTGGAAGAGGTGGGTCAGGTTAAAAGATGTCCGGGTCACCAACACGGGGTGGCACTCTCTGTCCTCCAGTGGGAGACACTGCGGCTTGAGGCCCCAGCACAAATGCAGAGGTGGGCTACGGAAGAACAGATACACATTGTCAGAAACACACGGTAAAGGGCAGGAACCCAGACTAAGCCCAGGGAGGCTGGGTACTAGCCTGCCCTGTTCCGTGTGAGGGTTCAGAGTCCATCTATCACTTTAGTGGGACTTAGAATCACCATGGAAACAAACCTCAGACCATGTCTGTGCCAGGGATTTTAGGTTAGGTTAATTAAGGTGGGAAGACCCACCATGAATGTAGGGAGCACCACTCAGTGTGTTACAGTCCTGGATTTAGTAAAAGGCGGGAGCAAGCCAAGCACCCATACCCATCACTCTCTGCTTCCTGACTGGACGCCATTGAAAAATCCTTCTGCTATGCCTCCCTCAACTGGGGGTTTCTATCCTGCCTTAGGTCACTCAGTTCCCTGATAAATACAACTTTTGTATTTATAACAAACCTTATGCAGTAGAGCTGGGCAGATATCTACCTCCTAAGATATTAGAATCTATTTCCCTATCCACAGTCCCAAGTTCTAACTCACCGTGTTCTGTCTGGGTGGCTCTTAATTCCAATTGGCTGGCCCTCAGGACCATGTTTTCATGATCAGCTAACCCATGGTGGCTACTCCTCCCTCCACCACCTTCTCTTCTTTTGTGGTCCTGCTTCAGGCCCCAAGCCTGGGAACTGAAAGCCACCTATCTCTCTTCTGCCCACCTATAGGCTGTCAGCATCATTATTCAACCAATCGTTTTAAAGTAAGGAACAAGGCCACATAGTATTTACTTGAAGTATGTGTGGATTCTCTTGTCCCTGGGGACAACCAGGCCTTGGGGGCCAGTATTTAGCATTACCATACATAGCAAAAGACCAAACCCCAACAATTCCCTTTTTTTTTTTTTTGTCTAAATAAAAAAAGGCTCTTTCTTTTCTTTCTCTCTTTCTTTTTTTTTTTTTCTTTTCCAAGACAGGGTTTCTCTGTATAGCCCTGGCTGTCCTGGAACTCACTCTGTAGACCAGGCTGGCCTCAAACTCAGAAATCTGCCTGCCTCTGCCTCCCAAGTCCTGGGACTAAAGGTGTGCACCACCACTGCCTAGCGGCTCTTTCTCTTATAATAATAAACAACATACAGTAAGAACAATGATAAAGTTATAAAAATTATTAAGAGATGCATTTTAAAAGTCCAGTTTATTTGTATTCAGCAGCTCAGGTGTTTTATTTTCTATCCTATCTTGGTGAGTTCAGGGTTCTGCATTTAAATCAATTTCTTCCTAAATCCTAAACAACTTCAGCTTCATTGTGAGTCTATAACTCCATCTGAGACCTGAGAAAGAATAAATATTACCTGAGTATGCAAGAAATGCAGGAACATAGCTTCTGAAATTATATAAATGACAGAGACAGCTGACTGCCTGGACAGTCCCCAAAGCTGTCTCTATACCTTTGGAGCATCTGTCTTCACCCTTCTGAACATCTGACAGACCTTTTGTGACTCAGGAATTATGAAGGACTAGCTTACCCTGTCTTGACAAAGCTTGGCAGTCAATTTCCCTGCACCCGTTTGTCCTTTTTGGACAACATATTGTCTGCAGATAAATTTAAGGCATTCCCCCCCCCCCCAGTGGCTAGCTTGCCACAGTTGAAGCAACTCCACACGGAGGTTATTGACGTTCATCGTCTTCTTTGAAACGGAACGGGGAACTGTCAGGAGCAGACCCATCTCAGTCAAAAGATTCTTTAATAATGAAATAATTTAAAATGCCATGTTTTGTGGCTCTCTGAGGTTTCTGAACACCATCTACCATAGCATCTCTGAACAAGCAATGTTGCCTGTCTTCAGCTACTTACTATCTATGAAGCTAAGGATGTGTATTTATGAGATAATCCAGATTAGTATCTAACATGACCGTGAGTAATTTGCAATACTTAATTATCCTAAACAGTTTGTAATAGCATCTATTAAAAGGGATGGGACTAAACCTTATATTAGTAAATGAGTTTGCATAGGCATAATATCTATGTAAGTGTTGAAACGTACGTACAGAATAGTACCATCTTCCCTCTAGGCTCTTCAAGGGACAGAGAAGGCTCTGTGGCATCATTGGTAGCATAGAGAGACCACAGAACACCCATACAACACTCTGGGGGTTCACTCACCTCCCAAAGAAATTCAGGTTCATTGTCAGCTTTTGGAATGTCTGCATGAGGGTGGGCCCCGAAATCTGGATGCCTTGAAGTGACTCTGTAAGGAAAGAGGAACCATTAGATCCAGTGGCCGAGGATTGACACAGGTGCACAGCCCCTTAGGCTGCATGGCCACCTCTGTGTCCTTGCCTCTGTTCCTGGTGCTGGCTCAGAGGGAGGCAACTGGAAAAGCAAGCAAGAGCCAATTCTCTCACCCACTGTCACTACGCCACTGACTATGCCACAAGATAAGCACCAGCCATTACCAAGGCAAGGAAATCCTCACAAGGCCTGGAGAGACACCTCATCTGGTATCCTAATTAGTTAACTCCATCAACTTGACACATCCTAGAGTCACCTGATAAGAGTCTCAACTGAGGAAATGCCTGGATTCAGATTGGCCTACGAACAAGTCAGTGATGGGTTATCTTGATTCCTAATTGATGTGGGAGGACCCAGCCCACTGTGGGTGGCACCATTCTCTAGGCAGGCAGCCCTGGGCTGTATAGGAAGGCTAGCTGAGGGGCTGGTGAGATGGCTCAGCGGTTAAGAGCACTGACTGCTCTTCTAGAGGTCATGAGTTCAAATCCCAGCAACCACATGGTGGCTCACAACCATCTGCAATGAGACCTGATGCCCTCATATGGGTGTCTGGAGACAGCTACAGTGTACTCACATATAATAAATAAATAATCTAAAAAAAAAAAAAAAAAAAAAAAAAGGAAAGCTAGCTGAGCACGAGGTGGTGAGTGAGCTGACATGCAGCAGTCTTCTACTGTTTCTGCTGTACTTCCCTGACATGCTTCCCTGGTTACAGGTCATGTGTTGTGGACTAGCAAGCAGTTCTGCCTTCAGGTTCCAGCCTTGAGTTCTTGCCCTGACTTCTCTCAGTGATAAACTGTGACCTGGAGCCTAAGACAGAGAAAACTTTTCCTCCTCCGAGTCGCTTTTGGTGAGTGTTTTTTATCTCAGCCACAGCGATCAAAATAGAACAGTTGGTAAAGACTAGACGTAAATTCCACCCTCAGCACTTTGTAACGTGCCAGGTACGGTGACAACTGCTTGAAATCCCAGAGCTGGAAAAGTGGAGATGTGTGGATCCCTGATAGTCACTGGCCAGTCAGACAAGCTCACTAGCTGAGTTCCAGGCCAGTAAGAAACACTTGTTTCCAAAGAATGTTGTTGAGCCAGGACAGGTGGCTCATCCCTTTTATCCTAGCACTTGGAGGCAGAGGCAGGGGGTTCTCTGTGAGTTCCAGGCCAGTCAGGACTACACTGTCAAAAACAATTATTAATTTTTAAAAGGTAGATTGGCATCTAAAAACTCAAGGGTTTCCCCCACCTCCACATGCAAATACACACGTGGGCATACCCAGCTGTACACGTATGTTAAGTATGGGCTCAGGTACATGTGCACATCATGCACAGACTGTCACCCCCACATATACACACATACAAAGAAATCTCTGGAAAGTGTCCAGAGCCAGGTAGTTAGAGAGAGGCTTCCCACCCTCTATAGCCAGCTTTGACCTGAACTGTATTGACTGGGGAACAAGGAGCATCAAGGACCAGCTCCCCTGTGGCAGGTGTCTGGTCAAGCTCAGGCTCCGGGGGCAGGGTGGCCTGAACTCAAATGCCAGAGAGTGGCTGCCTGTGGCCTCTGAAGCAGACATGAGAACATCCCTTCAAGAGTAGCCTGATGCTAGCCTGGAGTCACCTGGATCTGGAAGGAATGTTGTCTAGGACTCTTCCAGTAGAGCCAATCAGGCAGGAGACCTACCCCGCAGATTTAACGATGCTGAGAAGTCGCCGGTCTTCTGGATGATGCCCTTCGTGGTGTCTGGCTCTATCTGCTCCCATTCCGCCACCACCCTGACTTTCACCGTGAAGGTTCCAGGGCTCGAATAGTTGTAATACACCACGGAGTTGTCAGTTATCAACAAGGTCCTGTGAGATGACACAGAGAAGAGACAGAGACGTCACTGTCTCCCCTCTCGGCAGTTCGGAAGTGACTCCAACAAGGTGTCACGGAAACGCCTGTAATGACTTGGGAAGCTGAGGCAGGAGGATTTTAAGTTCAAGACCAGTCTGAGCTATACAGACAGGCTCCCGTCTCAAAAAATCAAAACAAAGGTTCATAGCTCTTAAATTTGAATTTGTCGGTTCTAGCTTTCTATGTTTCTGTGTGATTTTGCCTTTTGAGGGAGAGTATTATGAGCCTGGGACTTGCTCTGTGGTCCAGGATGAGCATGCTCCCGCCCACACCTCTGGAGTGACAGACTTGTGCAGTCACACTGGGCTTTCATTCTTTCTCAGGGCGGGAAAGACCTCTCAGTGGTTAGAACCATACACTTCTCCTATAGAGGGCCTCGTTCAGCTGGTTCCCATAACCCATGTGGGCAGCTCACAATCACCTATAACTCCAACCCTGGGGCGTCTGTCACCCTCTTCTGGCCTCCATGGGCACCTGGCATTTATGTGCACATACACAGACATGTACACACATTCACATGATTAAAAAGAAAAACAAACCTTGAAAAAAAAACAAAGGAAAGAAAAAAAAAAACAAGGCAGGGCGGTGGTGGTGCACGCCTTTAATCCCAGCACTTGAGAGGCAGAGGCACTTCTGAGTTCGAGAGTTCGAGGCTAGCTTGGTCTACAGAGTGAGTTCCTGGACAGCCAGGGCTACACAGAGAAACCCTGTCTCAATAAATAAATAAATAAATAAATAAATAAATAAATAAATGAGTAAATGAGTAAATTCGAGGTGTGGGTCATGATGGCCCACACCTCTAATCCTCCAGAGGCACCCGGTCCGTTTAATGAACTCTAGGGCAGCTCAGGTTACACACAGAGACACTGCAGGGGGCTGGAGGGGAGGGGCAGGAAGGAAGGGAGAAAGGGAGAGAGAAGGGGGCGGGGAATAAATGCATACCCGTCTCCAAAGTCCCAACGGTAGAAGAAGGAAGCCGACTTGAAGAAGTCACTTGGGTCATGGAGAAGGAAGGACAGTCTAAGACTTTTCTTGGTGATGTAGGATTTCGGCCAAGACAGGGAGGTGTTTTGGGTAACGACTATGTTTCCCACAAGGGACTCTGCAAAAGACCAAGGGAGAGTGAGCTCACCAAGGCACAAGGCAGAAAGAGCCTGAGTTCACCTTGGGCTGGTGCAGAGCAGCCTCTCCCTGGCTCAGCCTCCTCGAGCCGTCAGAACCGTGTGCAGTGGGAGACCCCATGGATCCTCCACCACTGAGATGTCCCAGTCGCCCCCTGCTGGCAGTGACTCTCAGCAGGTGTTCGTTCTCAACCAGTGCCCGCGCCCCCACCTCCCTTTCACAGGGATACCCACTAGGAAGAAACACACAAGCTGAAGCAGGACAGGATGCCCACACTTGTAATTCTGGTACCTAGGAGGCTGGGGCAGGAGGATCAAGAGTTCAAGGCCCTTCTTGGCTCCACAATGAGTTAGAGGTCAGCCTGGGGCAACAAGGGACTCCATCTCAAAACAAACAAATTTGCCTCAGAATTAAACACATACAGACTATTTTCGCGGTTGTTACTGGGCTCTAAGCAATAGGGCCTAACAATTACTCAATACGCTGTAATCAGACACTGAAAGGCGTGAGGAGAGAAGTTAAAGGATACAGGAGGAGCTGGGATGTAGCTCAGTAGGGAAGCAGTTGCCTAACACTCAGGATGTCCATCCCCAACACCAAAGGTGGAGGGGGGAAAGGTTGGGGTGGAGCTGGAACTCAAAGGTTAAGAGCACGTTCTACTCTGTAGCTGTAGCTTTGAGGTATCTGGTGCCCTCTTCTGGACTCCATGGCAACTGCACCCATTTACACTAGCAGCGTATCCGGATTAGTTACATAATTCTGTGCTTGCTTTACTGTCTGTATCATTTTGCAGGCATGCGCATTTTCCCTCAGGGCATTATAAACTCCCTGTAAGGGTCATGATTAACAATTCCATGAACTGGGGCTATTGAGATGGCTCTTACCATCTCAATAGGTAAAGTCACCTACCATCAAGGCTGACGATATGAGTTCAATCCCCAGGTCCTACATAGTAGAAAGAGAAAATCAACTCCTGCAAGTTGTCCTCTGACCTCCACATGGACACCACGGCACAGGTACCCATGTGCATATACACCCTCACTAAATAAATAAATAAAAAGTAGATGTAGTAAAAGAAATTGAAATAGTTCCATAAATTAGCTGTGTGTCATAGGATATGCCTATAAGCCTAGCACTGAGGACGCTGAGGCAGGAGGACCTTCTTGAGTTCAAAGCCACCCTGGGCTCCATAAAAAGATTTCCTCCCACCCCCCACAAAAGGAACATAAGATTGCTAGGCACAGTGTCACACACCTTTAATCCCAGCACACGGGAGGCAGAGGCAGGTGGATCTCTTTGAGTTCGAGACCAGCCTGGTCTACAAAGTGAATTTCAGGACAGCCAGGGCTACACAGGGAAACCCTGTCTTGAAAAACAAAAAAGACACAAATTAGTGTCTTTAGTGCCCTAAGAGTTGTGTGTTTGATTTATTTGTATCTTTGGGTTTTTTGCTATTGTTATCTTGTGCATAAATCATCGCCTACATGAAGGCTTACTTCCTGAATACAAATTCATTTCCACTGTAAACCCCAGGTGGCTGCAAGATCTGAACTCTGGTCCTCTGCAAGAGCCACAAGTGCCCTTAACTACTGAGCTGTTTCTCCAGGCCTGGCTCCTTATTTTACTTTATTTTTTATTTTTTTTTATGAGTGTTTTGCCTGTGTGTGTGCTTGCTGCCTTGGGAGGTCAGAAAAGGGTATCAAATCACCTGGGGCTAAAGTACAGGCAGCTCTGCAGGAAACTGAATCAGGGTTGTCTTGGAGAACGACCAGTGCCCTTAACCACTGAGCCAACTCTCCAGCCCTTCTTGATTTTCAATAAAATGTTTTGATTACATTTATCTATTTATTTAGTGTGTGTATATGTGTCCATCTGTCTGTCTGTGTGCCCTCATGTCATGATGTGTGTGTTGAAGTCAGAGAATAACTTGCAGGAGTGGATCCTCTCCGTCACGTGGGTCCTGGAGATCGAACTCAGGTTATCAGGCTTCGAAGCAAGCACCTTTACCTGCTGAGCCATCTTGCCAACCCAATTTTCTAATTCTTTTTAACTTAACGAACAACTAAGAAAGAATCTATGCCTGTGGTTCGCATCTATTTGATGACTGTCAACAGTCAAGGCTGGATAGTTTTCTCTGCACGAAGAGCTTGGTAACGGGAAATGGCTCAGTTGGTGAAGTGCTTTTCACGTCTTGAAAGCATGAGAATCTGAATTTGATCCCAAGAACCCAGATTTTTTTTTTTTTAAAGCTAGATTATGATGGTGGTTAAAGCTGGGTGGTGGTGGCGCACGCCTTTAATCCCAGCACTTGGGAGGCAGAGGCAGGTGGATTTCTGTGTTTGAGGCCAGCCTGGTCTACAGTGTGAGTTCCAGGACAGCCAGGGCTACACAGAGAGACCCTGTCTCAAAAAACAAAAAAAAAAAACAAAAACAAAAACAAAAAAAACCCAAAATGATGGTGGCTAACACTTGTAATCTCAGTGAGTGCTAGGGCTTACTAGCCAGCCAGCTTAGTGAGCTCCAGGCCAGTGAGAGGTCCTGTCAAGAAAAAGAAAAAAATGTGGATGCTGTCTGAAGAACCCCAGAGGCTATCTTCTGGTATAGAAGCACATGGGTATGTGCATATGTGTGTGTGCACGCGCGCGCACGCGCACACACACACACACACACAAAAAAAAGAACATGTAAACAAATACATACAAGCACAAGATTTGAAGGCAGGCCTGGTATTACAGCTCAGCCAGAAGCATTTGCCTTCCCCCCTTACCCCCCAACCCCCTAACCCCCTCCCCAGGGTTTGAGGCCCTCCCTGGGTTGTACACATGAAAGAAGCTGAAAGCAAACAGGTAAACAAGAAAGGCCCTCGGAGTCCTCACCTTTAATGGGGAGGAGTAGAGTACTCCTGGCTAACGGCTTGCACATCCAGCAGTCGACAGCAGTGACCCAGACAGAGACTGGGAAGTCCCCAGGCACGCTGCCCAACACGCGGATGGTGGAGGTTAGATTCTTCTCAGTCTTGGCAGTGAGTGTCAGAGGTGTGTGGATCCAGTGGAAACGGTAGAGGTGGGTATCTGCAGGCAGGAGCAGGCTGCCATTGTCCTTGACCACCAGGCTGGCTGAGATGGTCACTTCGGTGCCCACGGTAGCAGGACCATCAGTAGTAAGACTAAGATTATAGACACCTAGGAGACACATGCGGGCCAGGGTTCAGGAAGGCGACAGGGATCCTTCCGCTATCTTTCCAATCATCAGTTAAGCGTTCTGTCTCTCAGTCACCACAGCCGCAAATGTTTAACAAGGCTGTGGGGTTACTGATCAGTCTTCAGCAGGCACATAGAGTATTCCTGTTTGCTCAGAGCTCCCTTTGTCCTCTCTTCACTTGTCAAGATAAAAGGAGCTTGCTTGGGCTGGAGGGCAGGGCTGGGGTGGGGGCTGGAGACCTAGCTTAGTAGGTAGAGTGCTCGCCTGGAGTGAATGAAGCTCTGGATTCCATCCCTTTTATTCCACAAACCAGGGTGGCACACATCCATAATCCGAGCACTCAGAAGGTGGAAATGGGAAGTCCAGTAGTTCAAGATCATCCTCAGCTACATAGTGAATTTTATAGGCTAGCCTGTGCTATACAAGCCTGATGTTTTTGTTTTTGTTTGTTTTTTTTTAATAAAATAACAAAAAGAAAGAAAAAAGAAAAGAAATAATAATAATAAAAGCCAGCAGTCCCAAGCTTCAGTCACAGGCCTCTGGCTTTCTCTTTCTGGGCACACCCACCTCGTTGACATCTCCACTCTATCCCATTTCAAGGGGTCCCATGTGCAGTCATCTGGATTTCTGCTCCATCCTGGCCCTGACTAAGTATGCCCCACCCCTTTTGCCCAGACAAGCTTCCAGCAGGTGATCTAATAGGGTGGGGTCTAGATTCACATCTGGAAACTTCCACCAGGAAGCCAGCCACTTTAACTTCTTGTAGTTACAGGAGGAGCACAGTGGTAAGCGCTTTCAATTCCAAGACTGGCTGAGGTAAATGGATCTCTGAGAGTTTGTGGGCAGCTTGGTTTACATAACAAGTTCTACGCTAGCCAGGGCTACATAGTGAGACCCTGTCTTTAAAAAAAAAAAAAAAAATTGAAACAATTTCCACTTCCCAGGATGTTTTGGCCCTCTGACTTCAGAGCTTTCCTATATGCTGGCTCAGTGGAGGCACTTGCTGCCAAGCCTGACTACCTGAGTTTGATCCCTGGGTATGCAAACACTCTACTGTAAACAAATCTAACAATAAAAAGAACACCTTTTCCACTTCCTGGTGCATAGTAAGACTTTCAGGAAGTTCTCCTGTGCCTTGAGCCCTCAGTGATGTCCTGACAGTCTGGGAACACTAGTGTCACTGACCCACCAGCACACCGAATGAGGATTTCTCCTTCTTGCCCACCATACTTGTAATTTCCAGAAAAAAAAAAAGGTCATATGCGTCTCTATTGTGTACAGACAAGTGCTTAACATGTAACAAGGAGCTGGGGACACAGCTCAGTGGGTAAGAGTGCTTGCTGTGAGGCATGAGAACCTGAGTTCAATTCCTCAGAGCCACTTTAAAAGCCAGGCATGGCCGGACAGTGGTGGCACAGGCTTTTACTCCCAGCACTCAGGAGGCAGAGGTAAAGGCAGGCAGATCTCTTGAGTTCATGGTGAGTTCTAGGACACCAGGATAACCAGGGCTACATAGAGAAACCCTGTCTTAAAAACCCAAAATCAAACAAAGAAGCCAGGCATGGTGACTTACACCTGTCCTTGTAGTTGGATGGCAGGGACAGGAGGCTCTCTGGAGCTGACTGACCTGTCAGTCTAATGGTCTCAGCAAGCTCCATTCTCTACTGTATTGTTTAAATTGAATTAAAACCAAGAAACGGGTCTCAAGGTCACATAAGCAAAACTCCAAGTGTTTAATCCCAACCATATGTTGTCATTGGTCACTGTGAGGCAGTGCCTGAGGTGGAGAGAATCTGAGGAAGACATCCGAGGTCAGCCTCTCACCTGCATGCACATGCATGCAGAAGCACCATGGAGCACACCCGTGAACACACACATACACACACACACACACACACACACACACACACACTGGCAACTGTTTGGTGGTACTTCTGAGCCACGTGACTCCTGGAGCGGAAGATGTAGCATAAGGTCCACCTGGCATTGTCGCAGGAGACTGCTCATTAAGGGGTTACTGATTGAACCCCTTCTGTGTGCCCCACCCCCACAGGTACTGAGGTTACCCATAACTGAAGGATATGATCCCTCTCTGAGGGAGTTCACAAGGCACCGACTGGAGTCTTCAGCAAAACCAGGAGAGGAGTCCTTCTTCAGATATGCCCCCATTTACCTCACAATCCCCACTGGGGGCTTGGGCTTCAGCGCTTTCTGTTCCTCGGCCCCATGTCCCTATTATGAATTCCTTTCCTTCAAATTTATTTGTTAATATAAAGCTGTTTCAGTCAAGATGCTAAAGGCACAGGCCACTTCTGCCCAAAATGCCATGGAGTTGAGGCTTAATATTGCCAACATGGTGGGATCTGGTTTAGTTTTGATTTTGAGACAAGATTTCTATGTCCTGGAACAACTGGTGTAGACGGGGCTGGTCTTGAACTCACAGAGATGCGGTTGTATCAGTTGCCATGACTCCTGCTGCCATGCCCTCCTTCCCTGACTGTACTTTTGAATTGTGAGCTGAAACAAACCCTTCCTTCCTTAATCTGCTTTTGTCAGGTATTTTACACTTATCTATTTACCGTGTGTGTGTGTGTGTGTGTGTGTGTGTGTGTGTGTGTGTGTGTGTTCGCGCGCGCTCTCTCGTGACTGCCTAGCACGGGTATGTACACATGCATGCGTGTGCATGTAGCAGGGGGTCTGGTTTTTCCATCTAATATATGGGTTCCAGGAATCAAATTCTCAGCCTAGGCAGCAAAAGCCTTTTGTCATAGCATATAACACCCAGGCAAGAACGTAATACAAAAGGCACGGAGTGCTATTGTTATTCTCCGGGGCATTATCCCTCCCTTTTGTTGGCAGGCAGCATCTTCCTTTTCTGAGGGCTCTCGAATCTTCTCCCACCCCCCACCTTCCTCCCACTCGAGTTGAGGGGGAACAAGGACCAGAGCGAGGCTCTAAGGTGGCAGGGACACTAAGCCGCATGTTAATTGCCATCCTGCATCTGCAGTGAGATCGGGCTGACGCAGATCTGTTGCCATGGAAACGGAACTGCTAGCTGGAGAAGAAGGAGGGCCGGCTGACGATGTTGCAAATGGTTGCCCAGCTCATAGGAACTCCCACCAGCCCTGCCTGGAGGAGACCACAATGGTTTTAAAAAACAGAAGCTGGGCTAGAGAGATAGCTTGGTGGTTAAGGGCCCTTTCGGTCCTTTCAAAGGACCTAGGTTCAGTTCCTGGCGACTACTATGGGCAGCTGACACCTGTCTGTGATTCCAGGTCCTGGGGATCCAACGCCCTCTTCCAGCTTTTCCAGGCACGCACACACATGTGAACAATACATTCACATAAGTGTGGATCCACACAAATAGAAAAAATTTAAAAATTAAAAAAAAATAAAAAGAGAAGCTGCATCAGGCATGACAGGGAATGTCTTTAATGCACTTGAGAGACAGAGCTACGCAGATCTCTGTGAGTTCAAGGCTAGCTTGGTCTGCATAAACAAATTCCATGCCAGTTGGGGCCTATAATCCCACAACTATGGAGGTGGAAGCTGGAGGATTAGAAGTTCAAGGTCATCCTTGGCTGTATGTGTTTGAGAACAGTTTCTGAGGTTACATGAGACCCTGTCTTTTAAAAAAGGGGGGGGTAATCTGGACCCCTTTCAAGGTGACACTACCCTTCTTCCTCCGGGCCTTTGGGAAGTGTCCAGGGCATCCAGGCTAAAGTGGACAGTGAAGACCACTGCCACGTGAGGCTGAAGGAACCAGGCCCAATGCATCCCCTGCTACTGGGCTCATCTGAGCACAACCACCCAGCAAGGGCTTGGGGACACCCCAAATACCCTCAAGTGACTTAGAACTAAATGTGCCAACAACAGAGACAACTGCTTCAAAAGCATGACCTCAGTTTCCCTACATGGTTTCTGGGTTCCATTGTTACATGTAGAACATTCTAGAAAATGATTACTGTAGCCTTTTTATATAGCACGTGTAGGCAGCCAAAAAGCATTTGTCAATCATACCTGTGATGGTCTAAGTAACTCAAAAATCCACCTGCCTCTGTCTCCTAAGTGCTGGGATTAAAGAGGTATCATGAGGAGAATCAGGAGTTCAAGGCCACCCTTAGCTACATAGTGAGTTCTAGGCCAGCCTAGGCTACATAAGACCCCTATCTCAAAAAAAAACAAAAAGCGACTGGATTGGTGACATATGCTTATAACCCCAACACTTGGAAACTGAAGCCAGAGAGTGCACATTAGAGGCCTGCCTGTGCAATTCATGAAGACCTTGTCACATAATTAATATAGTGTGACATGGTGGCACTGCCTTAATCCCAGGGATGGGAAGCCTGAGGTAGGTAGATCTGAGGTAGGTAGATCTGGATTCAAAGCCAGGATGGTCTACAGAGTTCCAGGTCAGTCAGGGCTACACAGGGAAATCCTGCCTCAAACAAACAAACAAACAAATAAATGGTTGTGTATTTCTTATCATTTAAATCACATAACTTCTAGGCACATAAGACCTAATAGACCAGGGTGTCCATTTCTAGATGAGTTCCAGGACAGCC